AATCCAGTCCTCTTTTGATGGACAGCATGGTTGGTTCCATGATCTTGCTATTGTGAACAATGCTGCGATAAACATACATTTGCAGGTATCTTTTTTATAGAGTGATTTGAGTTCTTCAGGGTATATTCCCATTAGGAGGGATTGCGGGGTCATATGAAAGGTCGATTTTTAGAGCTTTTAGGAATCACCACACTGATTTCCACAGAGGCTGTCTTAGTTTACACTCCCACCAACAGTGTAGAAGTGTTCCCTTTAAGAATTATTCTTAAGTTACAGAATTCTTGTTCATGTTTAAGTTCCTGCGGGATAGGTTTCTTTATTGAACACTTAAGATATATAAAAGTGTGGTGATTTAAAAAATGTTTGGATCCCAGTATCTTCAGTTGCCAGTGAAACCCAGAAAACTTCTTGTCTTAGTAAGGAGCCTTGGGTAGTATTGAACGGCTTATAATTAATCAGGAGTGATAGATTTACCCCCCTGGAATGAATCAAACCCTAAATAGTATATTTTGTTCCAAAAAATTCTAAAATTTCTTTGGAATTTTCATATCCTTGCTAAAACAGAAAGTTAATAAATGGAGTCAGTCTTAGAGCTCTCCTCATCTTTAGAACATAGCAAAAACTTGCTCACATATTATGTAATGTAGTGCTACAGGGAAATTTCAGGTCCTTAAGGGTCCTCAGTAAATCCTGTAACTGTCCAGATGGATTGTGTCTTTCCTAAGAAAAACGAATAGGTGTTGATTATGTTGATTTAATGGGACACCATAGAAAGCACAATACATAGCTATAGTGGTAAATTATGTAGCCTCAAGTTGCACTGAAAATAAAAAAGTATTTGGGCTTATTACTACAAATAATTAGGTAAAACTCATTAATTTTATTTATGAATTTAAGGCCCTGAACAATCTTTATCCTCATCCGTTGTGTATCTTACTGGGAAACAACAGTGTGTAAAGCCTGGTGGAGGTATGACACATCCTTTCTCTATAAGGACTTTGAACTTCTAGTTTAAGGGGTATTTTGTAAATTTAGAGGTTTAGATGAGTGAATCTGAACCTTGCTGCCAATATTAGTAAACCTTTTTGCCCACAAAGGTACCACTTTATGGCAATCTTCAGTTTAGTTTGATCATACACAAAGGTACCAGTAAATCAGTATCCACATTAGCTATGATCTGATTATAAATTGGAAAGTCCTCAAGGAGCTAAAGAAGAAAAAGGAAAGAATTTAATTTTGCAATTATATTAACATAGTAGAGCCTATTAGATTCCTGGTATCCCTTTTAAGTTAATGGGCGTGGTGTCATGGCGGAAACATAATATTTCTTACTTGGAGATCCAAGGATAATGGTTACAGACTGAAACAGCGAGAATATCTGTGGATCATTTGAGATGCCCATATCTGAGTAGTTCATGACTCCAAGGGAGAGGTTTCTTTTAATATCTAGAGAAATTTCTCTTTGCAAGTTTGAGGATTAAATGAGAAGTCAGCTGCATAATTCCCCCCAGAGTGTTGTCATTGATTTGCCCATTTGATTTTTTCTTTTATTTTCTTAGCTAGAACATGACAGTTATTTTGCTAATGACCTTTTTGCTTATAAGTATCTACAGGTGCCTACCAAGAAGCGCATTCCTCCAGTGCTTGCTAACGACAATGTGACCATTTAGTTGTTTTATCTGCAAGGCTATTGGTTTATTTTGCTTGTGTTCTAAGTCTTTTGAAGATCTGGATTTGACAATCTGGTAATAGAGTCATTTCTCATTCCAGCTTTGTTGCATATTAAATCCCCTGTTTCTGGAATTAAGGCTGTTTGCAAAAAGTGAGGAAGAGCTTGAGGTCACAACTTCAGAATCTGCTCCTTAGAGAACCTATCTCTGGAGTTACTAGTTGACATTCATTTTTTCCTTCCTTCCTTGTAGGACTGGATTAGTCAACTTTTTTTTTTCTGAGTTGTGGTATAACTGTATCACTCAGACTGGAATACAGTGGCATGATCATGGTTCACCACAGCCTTAACTCCTCAAGCCTCGGCCTTCTACCTCAGTCTCCTGAGTAGCCAAGACTGCAAGTGTGTACCACCATGCCCAGTTGATTTCTTGGTACAGATGAGGCATCACTATATTGCCCAGACTGGTCTCAAACTCATGGGCTCAAGCAATCCTCCTGCCTCAGCCTCCCAAAGTGCTGGGATTACAGGTGTGAGCCACTGCATCCTGCCTAGAGTCAACCTTATTTTCACAGGAAAAACTTTGGGGATAGCCTCTGAAAGATTTTGTCAGACATCTGCAGCTTTTATGAATCTCTCTGGTTTCCTATATGGTTTGAGATAGTTCCTAAGTCATTCTTGGGATCCTCTCAATTTTCCTTTTTTGTTCAATTTTTAAAAATCTGAGAATGTGACCCAATTGATGTAGATCTGGGAACAGGCAGTATTATTATTTTTCAAATTAGCTATAGAAATTTAAGTATTTTAAAGTAATTACTAACTTCAGAAAAACAGAAAGTTGTATGAGAATAGAAAGGTAATCAAGGTATACTACATGGCTCAATACTGAATAATAATTGCATAGTCAGAACAGTGTAAATGCTGACTGTTGATTAAAGTCACAATTTTGATATAAATCTGTTGAAAGATTCGGGGGGAGAGTGGTATGGAGCAATAGTTGTATAAGAAAGCTAAACTCCAATGATCATGGTAAGAGATCAAAATTACTATTGCTAACTCAACATATTGTTTAGAAATCTGGAGGCAAATAATGGAAAAATTTGGAAGTGGTTGCCACTTTTAGACCCAATTTTTTAATTATGAGAATTATGAACTTTGATAAAAATAGAAGAAAAATATAGTTATCTTGAATCTGAAGAACAGAACATGTAGCTTCCACTAAAAAAAGGAGGCGGGTGGGAGAAGGGGAATTATATATGCATATATGTTCATATTTTTAAAAAATTCTCTGGTATTTTTGGTGGTAGTTGTGGTTTTGTAAAACTTACTTCAACCAATTTAAAGATGTCTCTGTTGCCAGGTAAGCATTTGTGTTTAGGTAACAAAACTGTTTTTTTCTGGCAATTCTAAGACTATAGTCTACTTGTGTACTAGGACTGTTCATTGTGATGTCTTTTGGTTAAAAAATATTTTCTTGAGAACAGCTTTGGTACAAGCCAGATCCAAAATTTAAAATGCAATGTGTTTTCTCATGAAGAGGCAATGGAAGCAAACCTTCTATATGATGATTCTATGACAATTTTTAAAAAATCATATAATTGGTTTTAAAGTTGAATTTTAACAACATAAAATAATACTTACAAAAAGAATATTTAACTTTTATTTAAATTGTGAACCCAAATAAGATTTAAAACTGAGAGTTACTAGAATTTATGTTTTCACTTCTCATAATTTTTAAAATAGGAAACTCTTCAGAGTGAAAAGGAAACATTAGCAAAGCAACAAAAAGAAGCAATGGCAGTTTTTAAAAAGCAGGTAATTTCATGAGGATAGACAAGTACTACAATTTTAAATATTGCATTTCCTCCCCCTCCCATGATATTATGGCAGGCTATTCTCCATACTCATAGAAGACAAAAAGGAGAAAAGGTATTGGAGAAGTAGGAAAGGAGTAAAGCTGTTTTGAATCACAGCTGATAATAAAGAGTATGAAGTAGTGGGTTGGGTTATCTAGGATGGAAGCTGGGAACGCTATTTTTCTGGAGATGGAGAAGTGTTTTCAGCTGTCCTAAATAACCTAGGTGAACAGGATGTGTGTGTTCTTGTTCTTTCTTTCTCCTTTCCTCTTTCTCTCTTCTATTAGAGTGTCCTAGCTCTTATCTTTCCCCATTAGCCGTTTCCCATGTGTTATGATAGCTGAGATGCAAGTAGGGAGATGTCAAGGTTGAGGAGAGGTGATCGTTACACGTGGAAGCCTCCATGTGTGTCAACCATCAGTAACTAAGAAATTCTGGCAGAAAAATAGAGAAAAAGCTAAAAGGATTTGAAGAAATGAGTAGCCACACCTTCTGCTAATTTGAATTCCGTAACTGTTCTTGACTGCCTCAAATTTCTCTTCGGTCCCGAGTTAGAAAATATTAGTTTAAGAAAGTGTATGTACTCATGTAAAAAAATCCTCTGAAAGTATTTTCCTTATATTTATCTCATCATCAGTTTTTTTTTCCTTTTTCCTTTTCTCTTTTTATCTTTATCTTTATGCGAGTGTGTGTTTAGAAAAAGAATTGCACATAAGGAAATAAACCTGTATAACTTAAGTCACTGGTAGGTTAAAGTTACTGATAATGTATGCATTAGTATGAATTTGTTTAAGCAAATGACAGACTTTCTTTCTTTAATCTGGGATAGGCCTAACCAAAGTCATGGGCATTTTATTGAAGGTGAAGGAAGCAGAAGCCAAAAGTGTAGCATAATGTTCCCTAGGAAAGAGCAAATCTGCATCTCTGCCATCACAAGGGACTCTGGGCAAGATAATACTCAGATATCTAAAGAGGGGAGGAAAAAGTACTCTTGGGTTTTTTTTTTTCTTCCTTGTCTCTTTTTATTTTAAGGAAAGAATCCTTGAATGTAAGTGAGGAGTATGAAAAAGGAGAGGGAGAGGTTCCAAGAAAAATTTTATTTCTTGAATATCCTTATACTCCTTAGAATATTTCATTATTTTCCATTAGCAAATGTACTTTAGTTTTTGTTTTAAATGGCATTTTTTAAAAAGTCAGCTGGATGCTGTGGCTCAAGCCTGTAATCACAGCACTTTGGGAGGTTGAGGTGAGCGGATTGTCTGAGCCCACGAGTTCGAGACCAGCCTGGGCAACTTGACAAGACCTCATCTCCACAGTAAATCAAAAAATTAGTTGGGTGTGGTAGTGCGTACCTTTAGTTCTGACTATTTGGAAAGCTGAGGTGGAAGAATCACCTGAACCCAGCAGGTCAAGGCTGTGATGGCCGTGAGTGTGCCACTTGTACTCCAACCTGGATGGCGGAGTGAGATTCCAACTCAAAAAAAAAAGTCATTATTAGGCTGCCACATGACTTAAATTTTTTTTCAGAACATAAATGCTATCAATGCAAATACAAATGATATTAATTTATAAAATTGTACCTTCAGAAAACGATATATGCTATTATTTGGGAGTAAATGGCAAAATATTTAGACATTTGAGGGAAAAAAAAAGCTTCTGAAGGGAAAATGAAACTTTCAAGGATGACTGGTATCTCTAATCAGTGTGATTAAATTGTTAATTTAGAGCTGAGCATGGTGGTGCCTGCCTCTAGTCCCAGCTACTTGGGAGGTTGAGGCAGGAGAATCACTTGAGTCCAGGAGTTGGAGTTCAGCCTGGGCAACTTAGCAAGACCTCATCTCTAGAAAGAAAGAAAGAAATGGTTCATTTACTTTGATGACTAGCTTTTTTCTCCTTTTATATCATTATTATTTTCTCAATCTGCGAGTAATATATTCGCATTATATTAAGTTCAAGCAGTATAGACATGTAAAGTGTTTCTGTAATCTCATTGACCAGTATAAATTACTGTTAACAGTTTACCTACCTTTATTTTAATTTTTAAAATTGTTTGTCAGTTGCAAATGAAGATGTGTGTCTTGGAAGAAGAAAAGGTATGTGTCAATTTTTTTTTAGAAAGCAGGATTTATTGAGAGGACAGAAAAGCTCCCACAATGGGAAGGGACCCGAAGGGGTTGCCCTATTAATTTTTAAAAAATAATTTAAAACATAGTTAAATATCTTTAATTATCAATTGTCTACCATAGTAGAAAAGAGCATTAGTAACAAGCATTAGCATTAAAGACAGGTAGCTGCTTAAAATCTTAGAAGCAGAAAGGACCCATATTACTTGACTTCTGTCATTTTACAGTTGAGAATACTGAGGCCTAGCAAATAACTTGCCATAGTTCTCACTTTGAAGTGGCAAATTTTAGACAAGAACCCAGGCCTCTTCAGCCTCCATGTTAATGTTCTTTCCATTCAACTGCAATGTTTCTGTTAAATATAATACATTTTTAGTGCCTTTTCAGTGTAATTACCTTCTTTAAAAAAATACTGCAATGCCTTGCATCTGGGTGCAGACCAATTTGCAAAGGGGATACAATGCCAGCAAACCTATTTTAATTCATCTAGCACTAAGTATTTTTCCTAGCTATTTAGTAGTTAATACATATTTTATTGCATTAATAAACATACTATTTATAATAGTATTGTATAGTTTGTTATTTTTAGCAAAAGACCTTCTTTGAAAAAAATTTCCCATATGCTTATGTTCATGAGACTAATGTGCCTGTATATTACTAATTAGGATATATTTATTCTATTTTTATGAATTAAATAATTATAAAGTATCTACAAGTTCTCAGGTAGGAATATTCTACTGATAAAATAGTTTGTGGTTATAAGGTATCCATTTCATGATCATTGTAATCATATAAAGGCCTTGCTGTAATTTTATGTTATTTTGAAGTCATTAGAAGTGTGATTTGTAGTGCAGGTTTAAGGTTAAAACCTGTGAAGTATTAGGCTTAAAGTAGAGATTTTAGCTTTTGAGCTCTTATATTTTACCCTTTTGTAATTTATGTTGGAAAGTATTAAAATATAGTTTTTTTACTTAAAGGGAAAATATCAACTTGCTACAGAAATAAAAGAAAAAGAAATCGAAGGATTGAAAGAAACATTAAAAGCATTACAGGTAAAGTAACTAAGTATTTTTAAAAAGTAATTTGGTATTTTAGCATTGTATCAGTAAACCTACATTAGACTTTTAAGCTACAAAGCTGACAAAAATTCATATATACTGCATAACTTAATAATGTTTTCCTGAGAGACCTTGAATTTCAAATTCAGATTTTTGCTTTGCCATATCTTATTTTAAAAAGAAATATGAAAATGGCTTTTATTATTTCTCACAGTAATATAGTTAAATAAAGTTTTCAACACTTTATACATGAGGAAAACGAGTGAGGCCTACTTATGGTCCTTAACAATTAAAATAGCATTAATTGAATTTTTACTATGTGCTAAGTACTGTGCTAATTTTCTGCAAATTCAAAGACTAAGAAAATATTACCTTACCTTTAAGTTGTTCATAGTCTCATAGACTTACAGAATTATTAAACTAATGATGATTCATTCAGTATATATGATTAAAGGTCTACTAGGTGCCAAACACTTTTCTTAGCATTGGGGTTACAGCAATGAATGAAAAAGACAAACATCTCTACTCTTGTGGAGCTTACAATCTAGTGGGAAAGACAAACGGTAAAATGAAGTGACCTGTAAAATAAAGATTGTTGGAGAAGGAGATGTGCACATGATTTCAAAGTTATCCCCCTATAATAACATAATACAAAGAGCAAAATATATTTTGATAATGGAAAGATCCTGAAGGTCACCACCTTAATCAGTTGATTGAGTCCAGCAGCAGTGTTAATCATGACACAATCTCTTCGTGGATCCATTGTTGTTATGCAATAAGGCGCACAGAACTTTGCCTGTGTAATTTTCTTGCCAAAAATATTAACTGAAATCTAATTAGGAAGAAACAATGAGATAAAATTATAATGTGTGGAACAGTCTATAAGATAACTGGCCTAGACTATTAAGAAACTTCAAGGCCGGGCTCGGTGGCTCAGTCTGTAATCCTAGCACTTTGGGAGGCCGAGGTGAGTGAATTGTCTGAGCCCACGGGTTCGAGACCCACCTGGGCAACTTGATGAGACCTCATCTCTACAACAAATCAAAAATTAGCTGGGCGTGGTAGTGCGCGCCTGTAGTTCCAGCTACTTGGAAGACTGAGGCGGAAGTATCGCTGGAGCCCAGCAGGTCGAGGCTGCGGTCACCGAGAGCGGCCACTGCACTCCAGTCTGGGTGATTGAGTGAGACGCCAACTCAGAAAAAAAAAGAAACTTCAATGTCATGAAAAAAAAAAGGAAGGGGGTGCTACTTTTGATTAAGAGAGAATAAAAAGATGTAACAACCAAGTGCAATATGTGAACCTTCATTGGATCCTGGGTCAAGGAAAAATATAGCCAAAGAATTTTTTTTGAGAGGGTACCTGGGGATATTTAAATATGACCATATTAGATGGTATTACTGAATTATTGTTCATTTTCCAAGGGATAATATTGGTATTATAATTATGTAAGAGAAAGGCTTTATTCTCAGAAGATCCATGATGAAGTATCTAGGGGAGAGATTACCTAGATAGCGTAGAAAAAAACAAAAAGTGTGCATGTGTATAAACACAAGGAAAAGGAAGTTAACAAACTGGCGAACTAAGAGAAGCTGGAGAAAATCATTCTTAGCTGCAGTGTATGCATAAAGACTTGGAAGTGTAAGGTTTTTAGCATATCTTTTATAACTTTTATAGTGGCTGCTCTAGGGATTAAAAAATGTGGGTGTGTGTATATACATACATGTATCCATATATGTAGATGTATAAACATATACATTTGTTACTTCTACTTACAGCAACATTTTACTATTTTAGGTGGCATGTAGAAACCTCACCACCATTTAGGTTCTTACCCTGTCCACCTCATGGTACAGTGATCTTAATACTCTCTGTACTTAATATTCTCTGATACATCAGACAGTATCATATTTTTTTGCTTTTAAACATCAAATATGATTTTTAAACTCAAGAGGAAAATAGTGTTCTATCATATTTATGCAGGTATTTCATTTTTCATTCTTGGTTTTGAGTTTCCTTCTGTTTTCATTTCCTTCCTATCTGAAAGAATTCTTTTAGAACAGGTCTTCTGGTTATAGATTTTCTTACTTTTCCTCATCTGAGAATCTGTATTTTACCTTCATTTTACCTTCATTTTCTCTGGATATAGAGGATTCTTTAATGAGGCAAGAAAAAGTAATAAAAAGTATACAGATTGGAAAGGGAAGAGGAAAACTGTCTTTTGCAAACAAAATAACAGTCTTGTATAAAATCTGATCATATTTACAAAGAAGTTACTAGAACTAATAAATGAGTTTACCAGAGTCACAGGATACAAGGTCAGTATAATTACAGTGCACAATCAGCAACTGAAAATACAATTATGATGCAGTTTATATCCACTCCAAATGCAGGGAATACTTGGGGATAAATTTAATAAACAGTCTGGGCATGGTGGCTCAGGCTGTAATTGTAGCACTTTGGGAGATCGAGTCGAGAGGATTGCCTGAGCCCGCGAGGCTTGCGCCACCAAGTCCAGCTAATTTTTTGATTTATTGTAGAGATGAGGTCTCGCCAAATTGTCCAGGCTTGTCTTGAACTTCTAGGTTCAGACAGTACCCTCACCTCACCTCCCAAAGTGCTGGGATTACAGGCATGAACCACCATGCCTGTCTATGAGTCAGTTTTTAAAGATGTCATTTGTGCTTCTTTTTCTGTAAACTGCTTGTTCATGCCTGTTTTCTTTTGTGTTGTTGGTCTTTTTACTCCCCATTTCCATTTTATGAAAGTAAACCCTCTTTGTCTGTGATCTGAGCTTCAGATAGTTTTTCTCAGTTTGCCATTTGTCTTTAATTTTGTTTTTATTTTTTGAGTAGGGGTTTCACTCTGTTGCCCAGGGTGGAATGCAGTGGCACGATCACGACTTACTGCAGCCTTGAACTCCTGGACTCAAGTGATCCTCTGGTCTCAGCTTCCCAAGTAGTTGTGACTATCAGTGCACACTACCATGTCTATTTATTTATTTATTTATTTATTTATTGTAAAGACGAGGTCTCACTATGTAGCCTAGCCTGGTCTAGAATTCCTGGGCTCAAGTGATCCTCCTGCCTTGACCTCCCAAAGTGCTGGGATTACCAGTGTGTGCCACCACACCAGTCTGGTTTTTATTTTGCTTGTTTGACTTTTTGTTTAATTTTTACCATGAATAAGTTTTTATTTTCTTGTTTTTTGGAGTTTAAATCATGGTATTCACCACTCCAAAGCTATATGACTTAAAACTTTTTTTTTCTTTGAGTTGAAGTCTCACTCTGTGGCCCAGGCTGGAGTGCAGTGTAAAATATTTTTTTGAGACAGGCTCTCACTCTGTTGCCCAGGCTGGAGTACATTGGTGTAATAGTAACTCATTAGAATCTGGAACTCCTGGGCTCAAGTGATCCTCCCACCTCAGCCTTCCAAGTAGCTAGGACTAGAGGCACATGCCATCATGCCCAGCTAATTAAACAAATCTTTTTGGCCAGACTCGGTGGCTCAACCTGTAATCCCAGCACATTGGGAGGCTGAGGTGAGAGGATTGCCTGAGTCCGCAGGTTCGAGATTAGCCTGGGCAACTTGGCGAGACCTTGTCTCTACAATAGATAAAAAATTAGCTGGGCATGGTAGTGTGTGCCTGTAGTTCCGGCTA